AGGAAGGAAGGAAGGAAGGAAGGAAGGAAGGAAGGAAGGAAGGAAGGAAGGAAGGAAGGAAGGAAGGAAGGAAGGAAGGAAGGAAGGAAGGAAGGGCAGGTTTCGTGGGCAGCTGAAGTTGTGCAGCACAGCCAATAGGTGGGAGCCTTTAACCGGCAGAGCCCGAGCCAGCATCACTCCGGAGCGATGCGATGCACCCAGGCTGGCACCCACCGGGGTCAGCCACACGCCGGGAGCTGCAGCCCARCCTGGGGCCGGCCAGCACCACCGGGATAGCAAAGATCCCTGCCCACAGCAGGGTAGGACAGCCCCACAGTCCTTCTGGAGTGGTTCCTGTGCTGCTGCCCAGGGCCGAGGGGACCATCTGCCCCCTGCTCCTGTCCGGATGCATCAGCCAAGCACCGTCTGTTCCCAGCCCCACCCCGAGCCCCGGCGCTGCCGGGAGCAGATGAGCGGGTGCCAGCCGGGTTTATCTGTCATCAGGGACAGGGATGAATTTGCATCGTGCACAGACTTTAATTTCCGATGATTGTATCTGCTTTTTCCCCGTTCTCTGAAGCAGACCAGCAGTTCTGCAGAACGTGAGGATGGAATGTTCCTGCTGGAGTACTCGGAGCTGCATGGGATAACAGACTGTCCTGCACAGCCTTTCTGCCTCCAACAGCCCCCACACAGCTCCCAACAGGCAGTYCCCAGGGTTATCCCAGCCCTCAGGTCATCCCAGGGGAGCAGGAGTGAGGAGCATGGGCAGGATAAGGCCAGGAAAGGACACAGCCTCTCCTGTGCTGGCCACTTGAAGGATAAAACCCTGGGTCCAAAACTCAACACCACCAATCCATTGGTTTTCCCTAAACAAGGAAAAAATCCCGCATAAATTGTGCAACACCTGTAAGASCTTCCAAAGACGGGCCTGAAATGAAACTTCCAAACAGCCATCACAGAGGAATCCCCGAAGAGGTGTAGTATTTTATCCCAGCTTATCCTCCCACGTTCTTAGCACACACCTGATGGCACCGAGGGAAACCTCTGCCATAAATCGATCCCTAAATCTGCTGCAACAACAGCGGTTAATCCCAAGCGCTGAATCATCCCTACCCGTGGCAGCAGCGAGGAATAACACAACGAGCAGACACAACAGCCCCGCCGAGCTGCCAGCATAAATATGCCAACTATTTTAAGCCCCCTCAAAGGATCTAGATTCACTCATAAACAAACTGAAAACAGCCCAAGAGCTGTAAAGGTGGCTCCACGGGGTAAATCAGAGCACAGCATCAACTACAGCCCCGAAAACAACCAGCCCCTTTCAGCCACTGGAAACTCTTCCGGCCCCTTCGCAATGCACATTAGAAATCTGGTTTGAAGCCAAAATAAAGGAAATTTATGTTTCAGCATGCTACAGGCAGTTAAAACCARCTCTGAATCTATCACAGAGCAGTTACTAAGGTACATCACTATCTTGAAGAAATAGTGAGAACTAAAAGAGCAACTCCTGTGCAGGGACTTTCAGTAGCAGCCAGTGTTTTGAAGAGCCATTCCTACCAAAGTCACTGTGTCCTGATAAATAAATCAGAGTTTTTTAAATATCCAGGCACTGGGAGGAAGGGTATAAATATGGATTCATGAGTCAAATTGAACTTGCTAATTTCTCAAAAGGATCTGAAAAGGACAGCGTGTGCAGGGACAGCAATCTCCAAATGTGGAGAACATTTTGAACACTGTGTTACTGCAGGGACAGGCACCTATCTGGATGGTTTTCCCTCCTCCAGAGTTCTCACCAAACACAAGCCTGACCTGCCCAGACTCCCAGGATGCAGCTTCAGGTAAGCTGGGCTCACCTGGGGTCACAATGACACCAACACTGCAGCAGCAAATGGGCAGCCTGGGGTGTTTGCAGGGGCAAAGTTTGCAAAATCCACTGCTGCAACAAGAGCCAAGAGCCAGGATGCAGACGGGCAGCAGAGGGATAATCCTCCTTTATTTTGGGGTTCATTTTAGCAAAACAGCACAGGAGTATCTAGGAAAGATGCCACAGGCAAGGACCTGCGGGAGCCGGGCCGCAGCTGGGCGAATCCGCATCCTGTGACATCTTGCCCTGTCAAGTGCAATTACTGTAATCTTCCACAGCCTCTCAAAATACGGATCCCGGCTTAGAAACCGGGCATCCACAGCATGAAAGCTGCCTTTGTGCCCGGGCAGAGCCTGGGTGCGAGCCAGCCGTTAGGTGCATGAAGAAAATGAGTTCTCCACGTGCTGGAAGAAGGGAGGAAAAGCAAGCTTTCCCACCCGAGCCCGCCGCAGACGGGCTGGAATTCACCCTCGTCTCCCCGCAGCAGCCGCCSAGGGGCTGGGAGCAGCACGGCCGCCTGTCCCCTGTGCAGTAACGGGGCCGTGASCGCAGCGAGCCGGCCGCTGCCACAGCCCGGAGAGTGGAGCGCAGCCAGCAACTCCGACCATGGGGGCGTCTCATGGGAAAAAGGTACCGGGGCGGCTTCKCTCGGGGCTGCGGTGGCGGGGTGCGATGGAGAAGGCACCGCGGGCTCACGTGGCGCTTGTTTTGCCCCGCACGCACTAAAGCGGCTGATGGCAGCGAGGGATTAGAGCGAAGGGACCCTGGGTGTGGGTGCCACTCATCAGCGCMGGATTAAGTGATTCCGTCTAATGGGCTCAGCTCCGGGGCCTGCCGGGGCTTTCAGGACAGCAAGGAGGGGATCAGAGAATTGCATGAGGACAGAAAAAGTTTGGCTTTCTGGGGAGAAGTGTYAGGTTTGTTTCAAATGCGTCCGGCAGCCTCTGGAATGTCTCCTGTAGATGCAGTGCAGAGCAAGCCCTCAGTGTTTCTTGGCCTGGGAATYGGTGCCAGCTCGCTCCCAGGACAAGGAGGAGCTGGGCCAGGTCCCACAGCAYCAACATGTGTCCCTCTCCTCCAAATCCCCTGGAGAGCAGTCAAACAGCTCCAAATGGAAACAGCTTTCTGGASTCAGAGGCAGCTAGAGATGGTTGTGCTGAGGATGCTGTTGGATGTCATTTTGCTTCCAYGGCTGATGACATCAGTGCCTCGAGATGCATCATCCCTGCTCAGCTGCCATGCCCTGATCTGGAATTAGGCTTCTGTAGCTCATCTGCCAGCTCTAAGAGAAACTYACTTGTGCATCACACTAGGTCAGTAACTTCTACTGGAATGGGGACAGCAATGGCCCTTTGGCCCAGGAGGAACTCTTCATGCTCAGATGAGCATGACTGTGGCCTACAGAGGTACAGGCACCTCCAAATCAAGTGCCTTCAGAATTTTGCAAACATGCTGGMCTTTCTTCCAAAACCAGAGCTAGACACTCTTGCAGGGCAAACATGCATAAAAGCAACCCACTGGTCAGTGTGACCAACACCCAGAAGGCAAATCAGAGCTGAAGTGGGACTAATAAACATTAATCTATTTTTCTGGACTTCTGAGAAGTGCCAGGTACAGGAGGTGCTGCTCCCAGCCGGCCCCATGCCACTCCAACTCCCATCCAGGTACCAGTGCCACACTGGCTCCAGCACACAGGAGTCGTGGCTGTTCCAGTGGCTCAGGGCTACAACACACCCAGGAGGAGCCATGCTCTGCCCACAGCTAATCCCCAGGCCCCTGCTCACGTGGCCGTGACCTTCAGGCCCCGGCGCATTTGTAGAGGCATTACTGGAAGCAGGGAAATAAGCTGGTTAGGTCAGGCTTGGCTCAGCGCCACCCGGCTAAGCCCTGCTGCATACAAAGCAGYCCATGCCAGCCTCCTGAGCAGCAGAGCAGACTGCTTTTGGACAGCTTTCCCCACTGTTCCCTCTCTCTGAAACACCGCGATCCCACCGCAGCCCAGCGCTGAATGGCCTGGCCTTGAAACGCTGCCGGGAGCTCGGGCACTCCAGCTTCCTGGCAGCTCCTAAAAGCTGAGACAGTTTTATTTTCATGGGTACCAAAAGGTCAGAGATGTCACTCCCATTTCAGCCTCCCAAATGTTGCCTGGGTTGACAAAAGCCTGTGCCACTGCCCAGCTGGCACCAAGCAGGGATGCCTGACTGGCAGCTCCTGGGTCAGCACCTTACCCTTAGGCTGATGCTGATGGGAGATGAAAACAAGACAGTTCTTTCTGCTGCCTTTCCAGGGTGGGCATGAACAGCAGGATCCAGCCCTCCTGAGGAGCAGGATGAGTCCAGGTGCACAGGCAGGAAAGCTCCCCTTCCCCCAGCCCATGCAGAACCAGCCCAGCTCAGGGCACAGGGAGCTGCCAGGCCTGAGCCCATCCATCAGCAGCGCAGAGGGGACTGCAGGGAGCACGGAGCAGGGCTCAGCACCCC